AAAGCCTTTTTCCGGTCCCATAGGGTTATATTCCATAAGTAGTGACCGATTTAATCACACATTTCAAACTTTCCTGTTGTTTAAAACCAAAATCAATTACACTTGAAATGATATAACTAATGACAGCTTATGAGAAGCGCATTAATAAGTAAGTGTAAGCCTTTAGGGTTTCAATTTACCCTACCTTTAGAACTTCGGTAATCCAATCTATTTTAAAAAAAATCTGTTGACCCTTAGATCTGATTGAGCTAAGTAAGATAATCCTGTTGACTTACATACAGTCTCCTGTTATATATAGTATATCATGTTATATCAACATATCGGACTGTTATGTATAACATGATCGATATATTTTAATTATTAGGACTAATAATCACGTAGCAGGAAATATGAAGACAAACAGTATGTTATCACCACAAGTGGACTACTGAATATAGGCTTTAAAAACGGTGTTGAGCCAGATTTTTTGGTTAAAAAGAGAAAGCAAATGAAAATAAAAACTGGTCGGTTAGTTATTTACAGGTTTTGAGTGACTAACGAGATTTGGTGAAATGTTTTTAAAAGATTATTGTAAGGCCTGTCATCCCTCAGGTCAGATCCCTAGTTCAGTTCAATAAGACGTAATTTATTATAAGAGTTATATAAATTACAACCAAACATAACATCCCTTTAATAAGGAAACATGTTCTAAATTCAATAGAAATGAAATATCTTATTAAATCGAGCGAGAATTTAGACAAAAAAAAAAAGCCTATTGAGGAAACTTAATACGCACACGAAGCGTACGTTGGTATTTGTGAAGCCAAGAATGAACTAAAGGGCAGAACAAAACCGGTTGATAGTAAAATGTCCAGATTGCCGAATACCTTTGGGTCACGTTTACGCGTTTTATGTGGCTCTGCGGTTGGCGTTCCGGTGTTAATTTGTAAATTACCGATAAAATATATCGGGAATTTTGTGCTGTGATGGCTAATAAAGCGGTAAGTAGCTGAGGCAGGCGTAGAAAATTTTAGGGAGTTCATTTTTGGAGAAGGTTAATTGATGTATACCGAATAACATAACATAACATCACGCCTTTTTATCCCCGAAGGGGTAGTCAGAGGTGCACACTTCGGCAGTTAATGCCACTGTACAATGTAACACCCATTTTTCACTGTTTATGTTATGAGTCCCATGTAATAGGGGGTGAGCCTATTGCCATATACCGGGCACATTTCCAGACTCCGTGCTAGTACTGAGATTTTTAAAAACCCAGTAATACTTTGCCCGACCCGGGAATCGAACCCGAGACCCCTTGCTTGGCAGTCGCACTTGCGACCACTCGCCCAACGAGGCAGTCGTCGTCGTATACCGAATAACTAATTTTATAATATAGTTTTGAAAGTATCCGATTAAAGTTCTATTTATGTATCTTATATTGTAAGTAACCTTTATGTTTCATAAGACGAATCTCTCACTCTTTTAAGGGAAAAGTGATGTTGAGTTTTTAGTGAATCAGAATTTTGCAACCTTCACAATTCATTCACAAGTACATACGCTTATCTCAACAACTTTGGGATGCTACTTGATATCTCTCATTTGGCCATCGGCGATCCAAGCATACTCAAGCGCTCGTGTCATAAGAGTAGGTGCTCTTTCGGAAAGTTCGTCGTGAAGCGAAAGCTTTATAAAAAATATATTTCATGATCAATATGGATCAAAGTGCCAAGTTATTGATGGATTAATAGACAATTTAGGGCTAAAAACGCTTCATGACGAGTAATAACTGAACCTTTTTTGCACAACGATTACATCACGAATTCATCAGTAGGTAACCTTAATTTCGGGTCTAGTTATGTCTAAGTAAACGATGAATGAGCCCATGGGAGCTTCCTAATCCGATTTTTCTAGTACAGATTAGAAGACTTTTAAGTTGCATGGCTTTTGATAAAAGTTATTTCTTGGCTTTAAACAGTATTATAGGTCGTAAAGAATGTTGCGTGACTTCATCATTGGTTTACATAAATTAACCTAGCTACAGCTACCTACATCTAGTTTGTATACTCTATTGACGACTTTCGAAAGGTCACAATGAAGTGACCGTTCGTTTATCGGTCCTGTCAGTAAGGGTTGAATTACCCTTTCAAATTATACGTCATCAGGGTTTTTCATTAGTCAAATCAATAGCCATACACAAGTCATGTCGTGTTTAGTGCTCTACCTACCAGCTTTTAACACGAAACAAAGTTCATTGAACCTCTTACTTGCGAGTGTGATGACTAATTACCGTTATTGACTAACAATTGATAAGCGTGGAGGTTGTGTTGTTTATAGCTATTCAATTGTAATTAATATCACAACAATCAGGTTTTATATGCGTCTGGCATGAGACCATGACCTGCAGTTTGTTAAATAATGCACTGAATTAAAATAGTTCATTCTTCATGGAGGGTCCCTCCATATTTATTTTTAGCGTTTGGCGCCAAATGCATCTGACAGCTGTAACCATCGACAAAACGAAAAAAAAATGTGGTTGTCGTATTTAACTAGTTACTAGTTTTTGCAATAAAAGGCAGCCTATGTACTTTTATATTCTTCCTCAAATTAAATTCTATTTCTTCTCTATACTAAATTTGAACCATGAAAATGTAACAGACAGACAGTTACTTTCACAATTATAATAAGTTAAAATGAAATGTATTAAATTCTGCTTATTACTTATTTACTAATCAAAATAACATATAATTTTATTAGGGCCAAGATCAGTGTGACAATGTTAGTAATATTAGAACAGATTACTGTAATTATCTCATTATGTTATGTTTTCAAACTAATTGTCATTGCAGATTTAATTACAACAAGTACCTACCTAACAAGCATAATCAAACAAAATGAGGTCAAATTCAATCATTCTCATATTACATACAAGTCACACCACTACACTTAAATAAATAAATGTTTATTTGATAGTTTTACTATCACAAAATAAATAATGTTGAATAAATAACTTTTATGTGTAAGTATGTCCCTACTTTACTCTCATATTAAATATTGAAATAAATACAGATTTAAGTACTTAAATTCTAGAGCAACACTATTAAACTTGAAACAGGTTATTTAATCTGTCAAAAATATGTGAATTCAATAACAGTTTACTACAGAACTGATTTCTCTAAACTCTGTTTATCTTAACAGATAAAAAAAGAAAGTGTTTCCAGTAACAATAATACAATATATCAATGAGGTTTTACTACATACTTCAGTTTTTATACTTTTGTAAAAACTAATTGTTGGCAATAATATGTCAGTTTTGCTGGGCCATCTGCCAGAGTAGGTCAATAACCGACCATGTCTATGGTAGGTGAATCAAGTTTTTTCTAGGTAACTAGGTAAAACTTCATGTACCAAATTATGCCAAATGAAAGTGGTTTTAGAAAATATTGTATACAAGTATTTGATTTGTTGAGACGTTGGTAACTAATTATAGGTCTTCAACTAAAGTGCAACGATTAAAAACAAATTAAAACTTATAGTATGGTATAGAATTAGAAATTGGTCACAGTAATAGTAAATTAACTTAGAAATTGCTTTGGTAACATTCGAAATGTTCAATAATGGCATATGATTAATAATTAAAGTATTCAAGAAAGTTACTATAATAGCTAAGCCACATGATATTTACAATTCTTATTCACAGAACTACAGTCACAGCTAGACAGTCCACATAAAAATAGATGAGTTGAAATATCCACATTATTTTTGCGAAACCAGCACGACAGATCGGCTGTCTCTGTCCGTTCCCAACCAACTGTGTTATTTTTAAAACGGTCCCAATTCCCTAGAAACGTCTTGTGTAATAAATGAGTTTATTAAATTAATGTGCACCAATCGAGTGCTACACCAGTTCAGACTGAACTTGTCGTATTCTATTCAACTAACTGTTCCAATCCAAAATTATCACAACTGCTCAGAACTATAAATAGAAAATTAAATGCCCTGGAAATGATAAAACTGCACTGCGCTGCGACGGTACTGTCTGTACATGCGATACGTGTGCACTTACTACGTACGTAAACAAATATCAGGAAAAACACAGGTGTTTCATAGATCGCGTATCAGACAAGCAACAGGTGAAATTCGATGCACAAGGAAATCGTCTTACAGCCTAGTCACAAGAAACCTGTACCGGCGTGCCACCGATCTTCTCAAAAACATACTTTCACGTCACATCAGCGATAAAATACATAAAAAATTCACCATCACCTACTAACATCACTCTTTCCACGTAAGGTGAATAAAACAATAAATACCTTTTCCTTCGCACGTCCGGCATGTTTTTGCACTGTTTTCGCGATCAACGCACCTTTACTTTCAGCCATTTCAATCACTATTTCATTCCAAAACGTCTTTATTTCGATACACTATCAATCTGCAACCGAATCTGGCTGCAGCTGTTTGCTGTCACACGTCAAAATCCAAATGCGTGCTGTCGCCGTTTTGTACTGCCGCGAATGAGAGAAAATTGTCACCCTAGCGCCTCGTTCTCGTTGGACATTGAGGCTCCCACTAAGTCCGTTGTATGATTAATAGATGGCGCTCTACTACTATTCAGGCGTTTTCGAAAGATTTTGGATGAGAAACTGTAATTTGAATAATACGATAATTAAGTAAAACCGGTTTGATTTTACGAATCATAATAATGTATGTAATTCTTAAAAGATTTTCATAAGATTGTAAGTTACTTACTTTTTGTACTATGATTTTACTATTATTATTAATAGCCTACATCTTACATGTACAAAAGTTTTCTTTGAGTGTAACCATTGATTAGTGTTTCAGGTTAAATGTAATTTGTTTTTATTTTATTTCAAAGGAATAATAAAACGACTCATACATCAAAATTTAGAGCAATATTGACACTACTGACAAAACAAAATTGACAATGACAACGACATTTGAATGTTTCTAATTTTGAATTTTGTCCAGCGTTTGTTTGTTTATATCTGAATATTTGTTGGTTTTAGTTATTTCATAATATATTTACTTAAAAACCATGGTAAGTAATAATAAATCACTGCCATAAATGTTTTCTTTGATCCTTTCTTCAGTAAATTTTTGTTATGTAAATTATTACTTGTATTTAGGAACCTAAGACGGAGCTTCAGAAGAATGCCATTGCAGAGGCTCGTAGCAAGGAGCTCAATGTATACCAGCGTGCTTTGGACATGCAATGGTTGGACAGCCGCATGGCGGACGGTCGAATGGGCCGCTGCCTGGCGCTCATTCAACGGGAAGCTGAGATGGAAAGAGAGTTTCAAGAAGTAAGTATTTAATACATTAACGGGACAGACTTTCCATTACGGGCCACTGTGTTGGCAATTTTGTATAAATTTTTCATAAAAAAAGGCTTTTTATAAATACAGAAGTTGTGAAGACTTATGGTTGAAATGAAAAGTACAAGATTCATGGAAAGTACAATTACGAAACATACCTGTTCATTCAGAGAGAATTTGGGTCATAATCTCTTTTTTCTTTTCTTATTAATTTTGTACTACCTACTGTTGAATAAATGCTTTTGCTTTCCTTCTTCTTTTTTCTAGAGAACAGACCATGCAGCTATTGTAAATGCCAGAGCTGAAAGAGAAACAAAATTGGGCACAGAAGTAGCCAATGTTCGTCGTGAAGAAGTCTGCCAATTGTTACGGCGACACTACTTACGAGAGAGAGACCCGAGCCTCAGGGACCTTGCTCGAAAACTACAAGCCGGATATGTCTGCAGAGATATACAGCAGCAAATTATAAATAATGAGTACAGAAGGTTACAGGAAAAGGTAAAATTTCCAGGTTTTTGTTAATGAGACTTAGGCTTATGAAATTTAATTAGGTATAATAAATCTTATGGGAAATAAGATCTATTATGGAATAAGTGAAGAGTAGGCACCGGTGACCGCTTGGGGATTGAGCAGTTTAATCTAAGCAAGCATCCATTACAACAATCTTAACTGACATTCTCTTTGAAATATTATTAAATGTTAAGTTGTAGTTTCTGTGCAAATGCAAGTAAACTATGTGATGTATACCGCGTGTTATTTACCAATCACTTTCTAGCCAACTTCTAAATTAGAAAACATAGAAAATCATGGTTGAACTTCTATTTTTTAGGCAGAAGAAATGCGTGCAAACAATATTCTGCTGAATGCTCTGGCCGATGACAAAGAAGCAATGGCTAAGGAGGAGAAAGAGAAGATGGACCGGACTTCACAATATTGTAAGGAGTTACAACAGCAGTTGGTGAACAGACATCTGCAGAAACAATGTCAGTATGAAGATTCTTTGATTGAGAAGAAGATGCTTGAGGATATTATACGCACTATTTCGGATGAGGATAAGAAGTTAGTATATTTGTGTCACAGGCACTTTATAAGCGTCTTTATAAGTAAGGGTACTTTGGCGCCACTGTCACTTTAATGGCGTGCGAGGCTGGCGATGTCGTGGTTCTCGCACCCCATAACCTTTTTGTTGACGGGGGAAAACCTGCAAAAGGAGCTAGGCGATATCCCTATGGAGACCTGTCTGTCTCCTAGAGCCTCTCTGTGCAGTGCTCGGCGGCACGTGACCACTGTGCCGCCTTCATCCTTGAGGTCATTAGGTGGGCGCCTAGATTAACTAGCGCTCCCATAACCTAACGCCCTAGACTACTCTGCTATCAACACTATAATTGCTTTTTTGGAGCTTTCATTCAGAAGTATCTTCATATTCTGATGTAATCAGAAAGAAATATGTTATCATAATGAATATTGACAAAAGTAACTAATTGAAAGAATAATATGTTTTACAAACAGGATACATGTTTATTTCTGTTTATTTGAAAATCAGTGGTATTGACCCATTCCAAGCTAGCTGATCCAACTGGTTGTATTATGATTTATAAATATTTTTAATTAATGATTAATCAACCATATTTCAGGGAACTGCAACAGAAGCGTGCCATTACTGAGAGGATGCGACATGAGATGAAGACATTCCTCCAAGCTCGTGACGCTTGGAAGCAGAAACAGAAGTTGATGGTCATCCAGGAGGAAAAGAATATTGAGGAGCAGAACAAGATGGTCACTGATAGGAGTTCTGCAATGTAAGTTATATTCTACACTCTACTTCCGCGCGGTTCACCCTCTCTGCTCGGCGCCTATTAATCGTAGCGTGATGTTTCATAGCCTATGGTCTTCCTCGATAAATGGACTATCCAACACAAAAGGTTATTTTAAAAAGGACCAGTAGTTCCTGAGATTAGCGCTTTCAAACACACAAACAAGCAAACGAAATCTTTAGCTTTATATAATAGTATAAGATTTACTAGACCACTCTGTCTTTCCACCAGTGGACTGGTACTGCAATAATGATTGAATTGAATACTGCCTCATTGGCCGAGTGGTCGCAAGTTCGACTGTAGGGAACAGTATTATTGGGTTTCTGAAAAAATTCTCAGTAGTAGCACGGAGTCTGGAAATGTTCCCGGTATTGGCAATAGGTTCACCCCCTATTACATGGGACTCATAACATAAATAGTCAAAAGTGGGTGTTACATTGTACAGTGGCATTAAGTGACGTAACGTGCACCTCTTCGTACTCCTTCGGGCAATGGCTTGATGTTATGTTAAAAATGATTAATGCTCAAACCTTTTCCATGTGAGAAGAGACCGCTGGTCGGCAGTGGCCACTGGCACTATATGCTGTTGATGAAGTATTCTACGCAAATAACCAATTTTATTTTAGTTATACAAATTAAAATGGTTATTTATGTTTCAGATTAGCAGCACGGGACGAACGGATGCGTAAGAAAGAGGAATTCACTGAAAAAATGTCTGCAAAAATATTGGCCGACGATGTATGACGTTATTATTTTAACATTTTATATAATTAATGTAAATGAAAAATCAATGATTCCAACCCGCATTGAGCAAGCGTGGTCATCAATGCTCAAATCTTCTCCGTGTGAGGAGAGGCTTTGCTCAGCAGTGAGCATTTAGATGATATAGTTTAAGAAATAATCCTCACTGATTGAAACTGAAATGATTTCCAACATGTTTTTTTTATGGCATAAGCCGGTAAACGAGCAGACGGATCACCTGATGGTAAGCAATCGGCGTCGCCCATGGACACCTGGAACACCAGAAGCGTTACAAGTGCGTTACCGGCCTTTTGGGGATTAGGAGTTTGAGGACCGTTGGGGATTTAGGAATTGAGGAGATTGGGGAAGGGGAGGGTAATTGGTTTGTTTCTAGAATAATTTTCGTAAGTCCGAATAAATTGTTCGGACGTAGGAAAAACGGAGTTTCGTTGAAAAATATTTTTTGTATGGTGTTGATGATGGAAAAGTCAATGATTTTGCTATCTGATTTCTCTGGTTGCGACTTTTCTTAATCCTTTTTTCATTATGAAGCTGAATAATTTCAACAAGCATTTATCTTGAAACAACAATCAGATATAATTTACACTCTTCAGTTTTATTCTTAGCAAATCTAACATTTATACTTAAAATGAAACAGAAATCAAGAGTCAAGTACTAATATCCTTAATTTCCCCTTTCACAGGCTAAACGTCAGGACCGTATGAACACAATAAAGTTGCTACAAGAACAAGAGTATTTAGAGAAGAACTTCCAAGACGATATAGCGGAGAGGAACAAAGCGGAGAGAGTCCGCCATGACACGTACACCGCGCTGACCAAGCAGATCGAGGACCGACGGCGACAGACTAGTGACGGGAAGCAACGGGAGGCTGAGTATAGGAAGCAGGTTTGTTATTTTTTTAATACAATTGTTTAGGAGATAGGCGTGAGGTTATGTATGGTTTTAGTGTGGGAGAGCCATGCTTCAGCACTGCAGGACTGACTCGACCAGAGTCATCGGCCGAGCAGAAAACCATAGTAAAACAACGCATGCGTTGTGTTTCATCGTGTGGGTGAAGGTACCGGGTCCAATTACCCCCTTCCCTATCTCTCCAATCCCCACATGCCCAACAATTCTCAAATTCCTAATCCCTAAAAGGTCGGTAATGGACTTGTAACACCTCCGGTATTTCAGGTGCTGATGGGCGTTGCCGATTGCTTACCGTTAGGTGATCTGTAAGCTCGTTTACCGGCTTATATCATAAAAAAAGACCCGATTACCTCCCTCCCCATTCTCCCCAATCCCCGAACTCCCAACAATCCCCAAAAGTTCGGTAATGGACTTATAACACCTCTGGTGTTTCGGGTGCACATGGGCGTCGCCGATGCTTACCATCAGGTACTCTGTCGACTCGTTTACCGGCTTATTCTATAAAAAAAAATGTATGTTTTCTTTACAAGGATTGGAATTACTAGCCTCTGAACCAAGTCATTTGAGACATTTTCCGGGTTTTGGTATTTCATCATATATGTATTTCAATGTTCCTAATATCTTCTCTCAACAACCATTAATTTCAGGTTGAAGCGAAGATCGCGGCAGACTTGGCGAAGGAACGTGAAGACCTACAGAAGAAGAAAGAGAAAGGCAAGCTCTACTCGCAGGAGCTGTTGAAGCAGATCGAAGCTAATGCTATAAAGAAGAAGCGAGATACTGAGATGGAGGAACAACGAACTGTCTATGTCAAGGAGTATGATAGAAAGTGGTCAGTATATAGTATATATTAGAAATGGAACAATAGGACTGCTATTTCGCTTTTTTGCTTTTCTGGCGAAAGGTAAGACTGTTGAAAAGTTAATTGGATTTTTCTGTGGCGGGTTCAAAATGAATAAACTTAGCTAGGGATCAGGGTTGAGCGCTACGTGTAATGTTGATGCTTATAAATATTCATGTTTTGATGATAATGGCATGATTTTGGCTTTTGATTACGGGAAAAACGGTCGATATGATTTTGACTTTTTGAAATAGTATTAGGTAAACTTCAAAGCAAGAACATGTTATGAAAACTTAAACAAACTATTTCCTTTTTCTAATTTGTAGTAAACCAAGCACTTGTAGTCTTGTAGTCTTCAGTTTAAATAATTCGACGTCGTCCGGCTAGCACTCGTTAACGCCGTACTCGCAGTTGTTATTAAGTTAATTCCGGTAAATAGTGCATTATTACGCTGAAAACTTATCTTAGTGCAGTGACAATCCAAAACATCACACAGTGTTTACAATAGTTCGTGAATTATGCTACGATTTGTGATGACATTACTGTTTTAAAAACTTTTACAAATCGTTTGTGGTTATTACGAACATACAGCTGATCAGGTACAATGTCATCGCGGTGACCACTTGCGCGCCATCTCCGTCGCTCCGAGCACAGCGGGCCAGGCCTAGTAGGCCTGGAGCAGTGTAGGCCTGGCCTACACTGCTCGCACGCGGGACGAGCGCGGACGCACATGCTTCGTAGTGTGGATAAATCATAAATCATAATCATCGGCTTGTGATAATAACTGCAGTATGAACACTCAATGTGCGGCTTGTAAACAAAATATAACCACGGGCAAACCAATAAAATGTTCAGTTTGTGGTGCTTACTATCACAAAATATGTGTCAATGCAACATCAATTGACACAAACAAAAAACGCGACTCGTGGTCATGTCCATCTTGTCGCTCCAAGTCTCCTCGCACATGCCATAATAATGAAACACCTGTTCAGCTGTCATCTAGTGACGCTGATATCAATGGCTCAAATGTTAACATTCAGTCTCGCGCCCACGAGCGTGCGGCTATTGGTTCTCCTGTGAGTGAAAGGCATGAGGCGGAAAACTCGAAATCGTTCGCTGATCTCATCTCAGAAATTAGATACTTGCGGACGGATATGGTTAAGGTGAAAACGACCTTAAAGTCCTTACTCGATGACATATTTAAGTTTAACGGTCGTCTGGATAGCTACAATGACAGGCTTAAATGTTTGGAGCAAAGTAATCCACAATCGCTTATAGAAAAATTGGAACACGACTTTACACAAACAACAGATTTTATAGCGTCGGAACAGAATGATTTAAAGGTAAAATTGGAGCCAACAAACAAAATCGTTCATGAGCTTGAACTTGAAAAGTCACAAACGCTATTTGAAATGTCCAGGCTGCAACGACGTTTATTTACAATAGAAAAAACGTCAAGGTGCCGTAATCTGGAGGTTCAGGCCGTTCCTGAGCACCGCAACGAGAACGTTGATCTTATTATCAAGAAACTTTGCGAGAAGCTTGGTGTCCTCGTATCAGAAAGCGATATAATATCGTGTCGGAAGAGTTGCAAAGCTTAATCCTATTTCAAACAGACCACGAAACATTGGTAACATTGAGATCAGAGCGGTTGCGTGACCATGTCATATCAGCCCTTAAAAGATACAACAAAGAGCATCCAAACAATTCTTTGAACTCTGGAGCCTTGGGTATCACAGGTGAAAGCCGTAAAATATATCTAAGTGAACATCTCTCCCCGGAATGTAAGGATCTCCACGCTGCAGCTAGACATGCTGCTAAGGCTCACTCATTTAGGTTTGTTTGGGTAAAATACGGCCGTGTTTATTTAAAGAAGGATATAGATTGTCCTGCTATACACATTAAAAGTAAAGACTGCTTGAATAAATTGACGTAATATATTGCATAGTGCCTACATTCATTTTATTTTATTATTGAATTGTAATCTGTATCATATTTTACAATACTTGTGTCTTGCTATTTCAATCAACAGTATCTCTCTAATTTATGAAAATTTATTATCAAAATGTTAATCGTATTAGAAGCAAACTGAATGAATTATATTTGAATATACTAAATGAGAATTATGACATCATATGTTTATGTGAAACTAATCTCGATTGTTCATTCTGCGATAGTGAGTTTGTGGATGACAGGTACGTTGTGTTTCGAAGAGATCGAGAAACAACTGGCTCTCGGAAGCAGACTGGTGGGGGTGTCCTGATAGCGTGTAGGAGAAGTTTTATTGTGTCCCGTCATGGCGACCGTGAGAGCTCATACGAGGATCTGGCGATATCCTTGAGCTGTGAGGGAGGTTCTACATTATATATTTACTTGGTTTACCTACCACCCAGCCTTTGTGTTGAGGAATATAGCAGGTTCTTTGAGAGATGTCAGGATGCCGTGATTGATCACTCTGGTTTGAACGAAAGGATTGTAATATTAGGCGACTTTAACATACCGGGTGTTACTTGGAGGGGTGACGATACATTTCCTTGTCGTCAGCAGCCGCGAAGCGCGACCGACACTAAGTCCCACCTGCTTGTCCAATTTTTAGACATTACTGGATTGCACCAGTACAATCATGTACATAATGACAATGGTAGGATTCTTGATCTTTGCATGTCTGATATGGAGAGTATTGTCGTTACTGACTGTTTGCCGTTGTCTACACCTGACCGCCATCACCCTGCTATTGAAATAGAAATCTTAACTAATAGAACTAAAGTCATGCCACAGATAGTAAAGAGGATCCCTAATTTCCGTAAATGTAAAACTGATGGCTGCATTGCTCAGTTGAATGACGTGGGTTGGTTCGAACTATTGAATGATCACGATATTAATATAATAACTGATCGCTTCTACGACGTTTTGGACAGAGTTATTGCGGCGAATGTACCTACCAAACGTATTGGATGTGTTAAGTATCCAATATGGTATACTCATCACTTAAAGCCTTGTCTCGTAAAGAAAATCGCCGTTCACAAGAGATATAAAAAGTTCAAAAACCCTCGAGATTATGACGAATTTTGCGTATTACGTGCTCAATCATAATATAATATTATTTATTTTCTACAGATATCTGTATGCAATTTGGAGTCGACAAGTGTAAAATTATGTCAGTAGTAAAAGGAAAAATTGAGAACAACAGTTACACACTTGAAACAGGGCAAAGAATTGAACCGATGGAGGAACATGACACGTATAAATATTTAGGTTTTAGGCAATCCAGGCAAATACAACACAAAAACACAAGACAAGAACTTATTAAAAAATTTACCCATAGACTTAATCTCATTCTCAAAACAAATTTAAACGCTATGAACACAATTAAAGCTATTAACACATTTGCCATACCCATTCTCACATACTCATTCGGAATAATACAATGGTCAAAAACGAATACCCGAAAATTGCAACAAACCATCAATACAACACTCACTAAACACCGAAAACATCATCCTAAATCATGCATACAACGACTCACACTGCCACGCAAAGAAGGAGGAAGAGGATTAATAGACATTCAAAACCTACACAACAAACAAATTTCAAGTCTTAGAACGTATTTCCATAGTAAGTCAGAACATTTGACACTCCATAGACAGGTTGTAGAAACAGACAAAAACTTCACACCACTAAACTTGCAAAACCGAGACACGCAAACCAATGAAATAATTATTAACGACGAAGACAAGATTGCAGTATGGTCACAAAAAGCACTTCACGGGAGACATCGAACCTTCTTGAGCCAACCACACGTCGATAAAATTAAGTCGAACGAGTGGCTCAAACGAGGTGAACTGTTTCCCGAAACCGAAGGCTTTATGATGGCCATACAAGATCAAATTATAGCAACCCGCAACTATAGAAAATTCATAATGAAAGATCCCAACCAACTAAATGATATTTGCCGACATTGCAACCTCGTTTCAGAAACCATCCAGCACATCACCGGAGCTTGCAATTCTCTCGCGCAAACTGACTACAAGCACAGGCACGATCAAGTCTCTGCTATAATTCACCAACACCTAGCTTATAAATATAGTCTGATAGATCAAATGGTCGCATACTATAAATATAAGCCCGAAACAATTTTAGAAAATAGAAATTGTAAAATATATTGGGACCGAACAATTGTTACAGACAAAACGATACATTTCAATAGACCGGATATTACAGTTCATGACAAAATTAATAAAACAGTATATTTGATTGACATTGCCATCCCAAATTCACATAACATACAATCTACCATATCCGAAAAACTAAATAAATACCAAGACCTCGCCATAGAAATCAAAACGCAGTGGAGAGCGCAAACGGTTCACATTGTTCCCATAGTCCTTTCAACCACCGGTATCATACCTAAGTCCCTCACACAGAGCCTCAACACTCTCCACATGCCTACATACACTCTTCACACACTCC